GAGTGGATGGAGACATCGGGAGAGCGTTATAGACTCGTTGCTCGAGAATAATCGTACACAATGCGCCCAAATCCGAACCAGATTCGGCACGACATACATACGGTTCACCTGGGGTTGCCGCTGTAAGCCTGATGGCAATTGGACCCAAAACCTTGCGGGACGACTCCGCGTCTCGAGTCATAGAGCTCTCTAGATTTCGAATCATCAAGTTTTCGCGGCGCTCCTTAGTCCCAGCTCGCGACCCTCATGTGGTCATGTTGCACCCGCCGCCTGCCCCCCTCTGCTTGCTGTGCTACAGGCGCTTGATCTGACCTTGAATCCAGGTAGGCAGGCGCCCGTTAAGCGCGCGAGGAAATGAGCGAGCGACAAGAATTGAACACGCCTAATGGCAGCGACTCGGGTCGTTCTGCTCTGCATCTCATGCTACTCCCTCGTACAATTCTTTCAAGAAGACTGCAGTTGCCCGTTAATTCAAATCGCCAGGCTTGGAACTCAATACATCGCATATCTGCACCTCGTCGCGTCTTGCCCCTAGTTAGAGAAATCACTGGTCAGACGCGGCAACATCCAACCCCTCTCCCACATTACTACACGTCCAGAAACGAATCCTTGGGCTTCATCAAAGTGCATGTGAGGGCCATGGCCACAGCTACAGAAGGCGGAGACTTCGCGCACAAGGCGACGCCATATTGGTTGAGGCACGTCGCATTTGCAAGGAACTCTGTCCGGTTGGTGAAGGGCTCACGAGCGAGATCATATAGAATATCACCACTTGAGAAGTTGGCGACTCATTCCCGATTCTTCCTCACCTTGCGCTCGCAAGAAGGTGAATATCATCCTCTGATCTTATTCCGCCTCACCCCCAGTCAACTCCCGGAGACGGGCAAGGATGAGCAGTCTGGTTCGTCGCAGAGCATGCGCGATCAGATCTACGTCATGGAAGCCAATTGTCCACACATGGGAGCTGACATGTCGCATGCCGAAATTGAGGACTGTGACACCGGAGTAGTCGCGGTATGCCCTTGGCACAGGTTTGTATGTTACTTGCTTAATACAATACTGTCTCACGTCGGTGGATGCCAGATATGACTTCGATCTGAAGACCGGGCATAGCGAGACTGGGATGAAAGCCTGTACGTACGCCACAGAAATCCGTACAGAGGACGAGGTAGAGTACATCTGGGTAGAGGCACCAGACGGTGGAAGCGGATGGCGATTAGTAGAGTTCCGGCCAGTGTCAGAAGGTATGTGATAGTTCATCGATGTTCTCCTGCGAAGCACAAGTACTGCAACTCGCTTGTAGAGTTCGCCGATCCTCCGCCGCCTCCGCCGGACCTCTCGCATCTGTCCATTTCCTCGCCTACACCCAAGGAGCCAGAGCCGCTGGTGCCGGTAGAGAATACACCAACGACGCTAATCCAATGGGCAGTCCTCATCCTCAACACCCCCGACCCGATGCTGAAGGTGCGTATTTATGCAGGTCCATACAATAGGGTAGGCTCACGCTAATGTAGGTCCAACGGACCAGACACGCCGTGAAGCTCTTCCGTACGGGCCACCTTAAGTCCATCGGCCACCGCTCGTCGAAAGCTCCTAGACCACCGGATGTCCCACCTCGCGAAGAGCTGTACGCGCGAAACACCGTCGACGTGAGCAAGATCAACAGGCGGAAGAACCGAGCCGTCATGCTCCACACGCTCGCCAACATCGAGCAATGGGCGTAAGCACCTGGAATCCTTCCATCTCCCCCCGCACGGTCTCACAGTCTCCATAGGATCGACCTCGCATGGGACATCATCGCGCGCTACGGCCCCTCTCACCCCGACCTACCCACAGCCTTCTTCGCCGACTTCACCAAGATGGCACTCGACGAGTCCAAGCACTTCTCCCTGCTCACCGCGCGCCTCGCGGCGCTCTCCCCCTCCACGCCCTACGGCTCGCTCCCCGTGCACGCGGGCCTCTGGGAGTCCGCACAGGTGACGTTCGCGTCGCTCCGCGCACGGCTTGCGATCATCCACCTCGTGCACGAAGCGCGCGGGCTGGACGTCAACCCGGGCACGATCGAGAAGTTCCGCAAGGCGGGCGACGAGGAGAGCGTGCGGGTGCTCGAGACGATCCATCACGACGAGGTGACGCACGTCACAACGGGCCATCGGTGGTTTACGTGGGTTTGCGCGAAGGAGGATGTAGACCCGGTGCAGACATTTAGGGAGGAGGTCAGGAAGGGGTGGAGGGGGGACGTCAAGGGACCGTTCAATGCGGTTGATCGCGAGAAGGCCGGGCTGACCCCGGATTTCTATGAGAATCTGAAAGGAGAGATGAAGCAGACCGTAGCTTCAGAGAAGAACACCCAGGCGGATGTTGCAGTTGGCTCCGAGGGCGCGGCGATATGAAGCTCTGGAGGTGAGTTTACTTCAAACCCGCTTGCTGAAGCTATGTCCTGACCCAAAATATGTATTCTCAGGTGCTCGCATAATAATCACAGTAACAATGTACTTGGCGCCGCATCGGCTACAAGTGAAGTCAGGTTCTTGTCAATCTCACTTCATCGTCGAGTTCGCTTGGTGCTTCTGAAACCCGTCCCACTCCAGGTAGTTCGTCCGCATGTCCTTGTAAAATGCTTCCCAGTCCATGCACACATGCTCCGCCCCCGCCCCCTTCATCGTATAGTTCCTCGCGAACGCGTCTGGGGGCTCGAGCGTAGTATCCGCCGCACACAGCGTGTGCATACGCAGAAAGTTCAGGCAGTGCGTGAGGTGCCCGACCGCGTGCCCTTGCGGAATGCCTTCCGCCTCGAGCGCCTGGCGGTAGGAACGCATGCAGTGCATCTGGTGCGTCACTGCGACGACGAAGAGGCGGCGGCCGTCACCAAAGTGGACGTTGCCGTCGCCGATGGTCGCAGTCCAGAGCCACTCGTCGTTCGCCTCAGGCGACCAGAGCGAGTAGCGCACGGACTCCTCGGGTATCCACTTAACCCCGCCGCGCGGTGCACTGGGGAGGGGCATGCGGGGGATGTAGTCTTCATCGATGAAGCCTGTTGGGGAAATTTACTCGAAAACGTTTCCAGGTGAGACGACGGAATGTGCTTACTGTAATGTTCTAGTGGTGGCGGTCTTGCAACTGCCATTCGACGGGTCGCGCGCACATGAAGGAGGTCCAGGTAGGCATTGAGTGCTCCGAGGACGAGCAAGATAGCGACCGCTAATCTTGAGGAGGTCATGGGAGGCGGGATAGTGTGTTCACGGGATGCGCTGCCTGTACCCGTCCCTCAAGCAGACGACAAGGGGAGTCATTGTGGCAGTTCGCTCTTACCGCTGCAAACCGGCAGTCGTTTCGCTGTCCTCGTCAGTATCTCATTTGACAGGCACGGAACCCCAGGCGTTACGATACCCGGGAGCCTCCGTATCCTGATCCCGGATACCGCCTCCTGGGACTTCTCGGGAGAACGCCTCGCCCAACCCAGGTAAGATGCCGTCTCATTCACCAAACTATCGCCCGTCACGGCATTTTGAAGCCTTTTTCCCTTTTCACTCACAGTCCTGTGCACGGCATTGACGAGGAACAGCCTCGAGAAAGCGCGGTCTCACGCAGTTTCCACAGTTGTTCAGGTCATCCGAGTCGGCGTCAGCATCTCTCAGCTACTCTACTTCTGATTGCTCGACAGTGGGTACCTATGAAGAAGCATGACTCTTCCTAGCATCGCCGATACCTTCCTTCTGGCCGATGTCAGCTTGAATTCAGGTCAGCTCCGCGAGGATCGTGGTAGCAGCCCTGGAGGCCCTGTGGGAGAGCCCTGACGAAGACAAGGCGCAGACGCTCAGCTGGCCTTCCGCGATCAGGCTTCGAGATTCACATGGGCTGAGCGAGCGATGCTTCGCGGCGCCAGGGCTTCCGTTCTTGCTCCATTGCAATACGCCGCTCTCGCAACAGGGACAGGGGCTCGGACACAATGCGCAGGTGAGCGGCGTGTATACTCTAGGCTGAACAAGCCCGCTGATGATCATTTCAGCATCACATCATTTGTGTCAACGATGCCATGTCCACTTGTCCAAAGCGACAGCGCCGACTCATCTTTGTTCAGAAGTTGTGTCAATACAGAATTTGGGAGTACAAGCACAGGCTATCGCAACTGCCGCACTCGCTGCGTTCCCAGCTGCGGTACGGGCCTATTACAGCAATGTACTTCGATTGGATACTGATCTGATTCCTATTCAAGTCTCCGCGCGACGAGATGATTTGGGAGCCGCATCTGCTTGGTCATGGGCCCATGATACGTACGTCACAAGCTGAGTTTCGTCGAGAGACACCTGGGCCCTGAACGACATCTTGGACATGTAAAGTGAAAGCATCTTACCAGGCATCTTCAGTTACGCGAATCAATAAGGTATGGGCTTTGTCGCCTTGCGGTTAGGTCTCCTCACTCAGGGTCGCAAGTACGCCCTCAAGCTCCGTATCCTTCCTTCCGCTTCCGCAAGTTTAGGAGAAAGGCGGTAAGCACAGTTATGCGTGGGCGGCATGCTTCTGTAACTCGTCCCGGGTCGGTGATCGAGGCTGTGTGCCTCTCGCATGCTGCGCACAATGAGGCATAAGTCTACAAACGTGCTGCAATGTTCTGATTGACAAAAGATAGCAAAATAATCATACACAGTCGGAGAACGCAATCCGAAAGGCTCTGTAAGTTACATTCAAATCGTTTGATGCTGATACATGTAGATGCCTGCGCGACGTCCTGTCAGCCAACGAATTGATCCCGCTCGGCGAAGAAAGGTGCTTACCATACGTGGTGTTCTGACTGGACCATATGTCCACTAAGCAGTCAGAACCCTCGCCACATACGACCTCAAAAGTATGCAGCGTTCCCCAGGGGCATGGGAAGGTGGTCACGAGGGTCTCCTCTCCCCCTTTCGCCATCAGGGACGCGACTCTCTCCTGCGCAGGAGGCTTTGTGCTGTAAGACAGCTTCCTGACATCCAGCGGCTTCAGCGCGTTGAGCCGGTATACGTCGAACACGGAGAGTTGATTGAACCGGAATGGCTCGGACCCCTCGATGCGATCACCGTGTCCTGGCAGTTGGATGACGACCGAACACTCTTCCATTCCGAAGTCGAGCGCGCGGAACTGCGCTATCGTGTGGACCTTGGTTCTTCCCGGGTCAGCGGCTTCGTGTGAGATTTCATGAGGCTACTCACGTTGGGCGAGACGTGGAGGTGCTTCTCATGTGGGGAAAGCGTCCCAAAAACCTTGTTGAATAGGTCGTGCTCGCCAATAGGCGCCAGCTCCTTCGGACGGTCGGGGAAGACTTGCGCGACGACTCGCGGAAGGTTCTGTATGGGGTCGATCTTGGATGCATTGATCTTGCCGGAGCGGTAGAGGGTCTCAAGACCATGGTACGGATTAGCAAACTCGAGTTCGTCGGTGCCCAAGTCGGCGAAGACTGTCTTCATGATCCGCGACATGTAGAAGAGTGCGATTCCATCGGTGGCCACGACAATGACCAGCAATGCGAGAATCCATGTCAAAGCAGACTGGCGGGCTTCTGGCTGGTACCAAGCTGGCCGTCGCTTCGACTCTGCATGCAAAGAATGCGATAAGATAAGGTTGCGTGTTAAAGGACAATATAACAGAATCCACCTCCTGCTCGATGGGAGTAGTCATCGTCCAACTCTTGGGAGCCGTTCTCGCCGTTCTGCAGCAATGCGTATTGTTCATCTTGGGTACTTCGTCGGGAGGGCATAGCGGAAGGATGAGTTTGCGAATGGGATCTAAGGGGAGAGAACATATTGAAACGTGAAGAAGAGGAAGACGAGGCGCAGGCGCAGTGCGAAACGATGGGAAACGTACAGCCCGAGTCTAGTAAAATGACTGCAAGGCTGCTGAAGACTCCAAAGGAGCCGGGCTATGCGTTCAAAGTGAAGCCGCCGACACATGCAATAGATTAGGTTTGTTGACGGAGCTTCTTCCATCTGCCAGGAAACGGCTTCCCGCGGTCAAAATGATGAGGTAACCGCGAGCCTCGCCCATCCAGCACTGCAGAGTAGAGTATGTGGGAGTAATCGGTTAACCTGCGAGGTATCTGCCACTTACGACAAAATGTAGCCAGGACGTATCCATGTGGAACAAAGCTTCGTTGACGATCGACCCGAGGCGGCATCTCCGAGTCTATCGGTTGAGAGACTAGAGATGCACTGATGCTTCCGATTTGTGAAACGCGAGACAGCTTCGTATCATGCATTCACCGGCTACAGGGCTTTGAGGAGAAAGCGGAAGCATGGGAGCCGTCGCACGGAGCCTCACCGGCACGGCGAGTAGACTCTAAGCCACGTGGCGGAGTCTCGAGGATCACCAGTGACTCGACACCTGAGCTACCAGGCTCTTCGGAAAGCTGCCACTCGCTTGAAGGGTCAGTCCACGATGATAAATATCGATCTGACTCATACTCTATGTCGGCACAGATGTCGGGTATGACTGGGAGACTTGCCAGTGGACCCTGTAGACGCCTTAGCACCGACTTCGGACGTAATCGATCTGCACTGCCTTGCGCCTCAGATCTCCTTCTCCGACACAGTGTTTTGTGTGAGCCCTGCAAGCTCCTTAGCTATGCAGTTGTCCTCTTGGGTTCTGGTTCCCGCGCGGTCCGTTGCGAGCACAAGGTATTTGCATCGCCCTACGCTTACCTCTATCTATGCTGCCACCGCGCTTCAGACGCTAGTGTCACCATTCCTATACTCGCCGGAAACAATCCTCACTATCCCTCTCAAACGTCTCATCGCACCCACTCCCCTCGTTTGCGAGATATGACCGCTACTCGACGCCTCGAATCATTCATCCTAGCCATCGCCATCCTCTTCCTCGGGCTAAACTTCACATACAAGTTGATCAACCTGAGTTTGCTCCATCGTAGACCGAAACATGATCTTGTGAATGGTAGCCCCGCTCACCATTCAACTCATATATGCTCTAACGCGCTTTTTCTCCTCCCAGGCGGCGTATGGAACGTTGAGCGCGAGCACGTCGCATTCGCCTTCGATAGCGGGCTCCGCTACGACCTCAACGCCTCACAAGCGTGGGCTGCGCTCGTCCCCGGCGACGGCATCGTTCACCTCGGCGCACAGCACGAGCCCTTCATGGTTTCGATGTTCCACCAGCTGCGCTGCCTGGACGTCATGCGAGACCAGCTGACCAAGACCCGCGCGCAACGCGAAGAGCAACCCGCGCGGCACTGCATGAACTACATCCGACAGATGATCTTGTGCCGCGGCGACACGAACCTGGACCCGTACCAGTACCCGTCCAACATCCACCCCGTCGAGCCGCATCCTGTCCGCAGGTGCTTGGATTGGCGCGCGGTATACGAGGCTGTGGAGGAGAATCAGAGGGAATATGCTGAATGGGCGCCGGATGGGAGCGCGACCCGAATCTGACGGATTGGATTGCGTAGGGCTAGTACAGTTGCAAGTATCGGGATTCTCGTTGAATATTCATACGTAACGAGTAGCTGACTTTGTGAGCGAAACAGCGACTAGCTGGTTCGTTCCAGCCGCGTCATAACCGCGACTACGAGACGGCGATAGTGACAAATCTGGGTGACAGTCTGGGAGGAGGGGGCGACAAATTACTATGCTTCGGATGCCGAGTATACGTTGTTCCTGACACCTTGATTCTTCCAAGCACCGAGGAAGCTGCATTCATGTTAGCCGCACAGTATCAGTATGACTGAAGCCTAATCGGGGCCCTGTCCGGACCTCGATAGGTGCCGGTGTCAGGAAAGAAGAAAGATCTGAAGGGAAGTAGCTTTTATTGTAATACGGTAGTAGTATCACACGTATGTATTTTCAAGTCAATCTGATGGAGAACTAAAGGTACGAGATGCGTTGTTCTAACCATATACAGATGTGAAAAGCCAATGTTGAAGAAACGATGTGACCACGCCATTTCTCGATGTACTACTTGGGCGCCGGACGAGGAGTGCTACTGATATTCACTGAGCATAGGAAATCAAGGGGTTTGATAGGTTCAGCCAACGAGTCCACTGATGGAAGTGTAGAAAGCGAGAATCGAGCTCAGATAGTGATGACTCGAACATGCCACTGGAGGGGAGAAGAAACTGACCATCGCTTCGCCGGCCATTGTTACTGATTACACTGAGCCAAGCGAGGTCAGTAATAGGTGGATCTTCTACAACACGTTCCTGGTTATCATACGGCTTGAACCCTGTAAAGAAAGGTACATACCTATCGGCACCGGCGCCGCATGAACACTCAATACCATCAGATATATGAGAAGCACAGGGAGCAGAGTGAAGCGACTGAGAGCCATGGTGTAGGTGTGTCTGGCAGGATCGTGCACCTGTGCTGCTCAGCAAGTGGGATCAACACAGTAGCTTTATATACGGTCACAGAACCGTCCTGTCCGTCACCACGTCAATGTCAATTCATTCAGAATCTCTTTGACACTGAATAATCCGGGCCTCGTGCCCATCTAGGTGGGTTCCGACTGACACGGAAGGGAGGAAGTAAAAGCAGAGGACGATCAGAGCCCGCGAGAAGCCGCACTTCTGGGGCCCGAATTATACACGGTTGTGCAGTTTACGACGTATACTGGTGCTCTTGTGCCACTGTTATAGCAACTCCTGAGCAGCATGAAGCTGTCATTGAAAGAGGTTTGTGAAATGCCTCAGGAGGCGACGAGCATTGTAAGACAGGAGCTTGATCGAAGTCCGGGGCATAGGTCAATTGCAATCGGTATGTACTACTCACGCCTTAGGTCCAATCACAGCGATTTGAGCACTGTACGTACCAAACTTTGGAGAGATTGTGCCTCATATAGTAAGCACTCAGTACGCGTTATGCGGGACTTGATATATTACTAATATATGCACCTATAGTAAGCACTACAGTACATTATCAGTGGGAGCCCGGCGGGGTAACTATATGGGCGGCTCACCTCAGTACGCGTTATGCGGGACTGAGGTGAGCGAGTATGGATTCGACAACTTATATAGAAGAGAGAGGATAATGTAACAATCGTATCGTAAGGGGTCCGAAGAAGGCCGCGCCACAGGGCGCATCAATCCCGATGGTGTTCCGTAGTCGCGCGGCGTCGCGCAAGGCTTGCGACGTCATCGCGCTACAATCGCGCCATTCTCCAACACTCCCCCTCAAGCCGAAGCGAGACCCAGCGCGACTGCGAAGTGCTTAACCTTGACGGAAGGGAGTGCTTTCGTGAGGATGTCAGCCGTTTGCTCGTCCGTCGGGCAATAGATGAGACGAATGCTGCCGGCCTCGATCGAATAGCGGATGAAATGGTAACGGATATCGATGTGCTTCGTGCGGGCGTGGTACGAGCCATCCTTGGTGAGCGCGATGGCCGATTGGTTGTCGCTACGAAGAGTCGTCGGCTCGGAAAGCGGACGATAGACCTCGCCGATGAGGCGCCGCAGCCAGATCGCCTCTTTTGCGGCATGTGTTGCGGCGACGTATTCGGATTCGGCGGTTGAAAGGGTGACGAGCTCCTGTTTCTTCGAAGCCCAGGAGACAGCGCCGCCATCGACAATGAAAACGTACCCGGTAATGGCCCGCCTGTGCTCCTGCGAGGCTCCATCTGCATCCACAAATCCCTCCAACCCGTTCCTGTCCCCGCCGTATATGAGCGACAGGTTTCGCGTGCCCAGGAGGTACCTGAAAATCCTCTTAACGGCCTCCCAGTGCGTCCACCCGGGGTTCTCTGAGTATTGCGCGAGGGTCGAGACCGCGAACACGATGTCCGGTCGAGTGCCCATGGCGGCGTACATAAGGGCTCCGATCGCCTCTCGATAGGGGACGCGCTTCATGCGCGCGACATCGGAGGCACTTTCGGGGCATTGGGTCTTCGAGAGCTGTAGATGGGGGTCCATTGGCGTTGAAATGGGCTTCAGGTCATCAAAGTTGAACCGGGTGATGATCGCGTCGATGTACGAGTGTTGAGAGAGTGCGAGGGTACGGGTCTCGAGGTCGCGCGACACCTTGATACCTAGCAGCCAGCTGACCGGGCCCAAATCCGTTAGCTTGTACTTCTGTCCAATACGGTGCTTGTACGCCTCAAGCAGGGGTCGGGAGTCGCCAGTGATAAGACAGTCGTCAACGTGGATGGCAAGGATGGTGAGGTGGGTGCCTTCATGTTTGAAGAAGACCCCGTAGTCCGCCTCGGCGCGCTTGAAACCAAGGTCAGCGAGAGCGATGCAAAGGGTTTCATACCACTTTCGCCCTCCCTGCTTCAATCCATAGAGGGCCTTGTCGAGCTTGAGCACGTATCTACGGCGGTCGGCAACGGCATGGTCCGGCGGCTGTTCCAGGTAGACGTCCTCGTCGAGCTTGGAGTTGAGGTAAGCAGAGTTAAAATCGAATGAATCCGCAGGCCAGCCGTTACGAGCAGCAATAGCGAGAATGAGGCGGAAAGATGAGAGTTTGGCAACGGGGGCAAACGTCTTGTAGTAGTCGACGCCGTAGATCTGAGTGAAGCCGCGCGCAACCAGGCGCGCCTTGTACTTGTCGACCTCACCGGCCGAGTTCTTCTTGACGCGCAGCACCCACTTGCTGTCGACAACGTTGCCCGAGGTTGGTCGCTCGACGAGGTGCCAGGTGCCGTTGGAGGCGAGAGAGTCGAGCTCGGCCTGAACGGCGGCCTTCCACTTGGGCCAGTCCGGGCGCTTCTTGGCCTCCGCGTACGTCGGCTCAATGCCCTCGGCGTCGCCCGAAGCTGCCGCCATGGCCAGCTCAACCGTCTCCCACTCCTCCCGCTCCTCCTGCTTGATCGTCGCGTACCCTCCCTCATCCTCTGCTTCCTCCACAACCTTGCTCGTCGCCTCCTGCATCCCTCTTGGCAACGCTCTCCCTCCAGTTCGCCCGCTGGTGCTCCCTTCTCCGCTCCTCAACCTCCTCACGTAGTCCGACTCCCGTCGGACGCGTCTCGGTCGCTCGGTCGCGGTCTCAAACCGCTCTCCAAGGACGTCGCGCGCCTCGGGCCTGGACTCGGCAGCAGGAGATGCTGGGTTGGAAGGAAGGGCAGGCCGCAAGCAGGAAGAGCGCGGGTTTGGTGGAACCGTGGCTTCCGCAGGCGCGTCGATAGTGGGGGAATTAGCGGTGGGATTGGGTTTGGACGACGCGGGGGCACGCTCGACCTCGTTCTGGTGAGTACTAACGATTTTCTTGGTCTCGTTGTCCCCCGTCTGGTCCCCGTTGTCCCCCGTTTGGTCCCCTTGTTCCCCATCCTCCCCCTCGAGCGGCACCTCGACGTCGGCCTCCGCCACGTTGAAGCGCACGCTGCGCTCGACCGTCACACTGCGCCGATCAGGCCAGTAGATCCGATGGGCATCGGATTGCTCATCCCACCCCACCCATCTGTCACAGTTTTCTCGTGCCACGTGACCTAGGGGTCATGTGAACCAGAACAGACGCTCACCTTGACCACGGGCAACTCGTATCGGAAAGTGGAGGAGCCGGGATCGAACCCAGGACCTTGTGGGGTCCAGGAGCGCCCATCCTCACTCACTGGCAGGTGACTCACACGTCAGCGGGGGCGCTTACTCATCGGAGCAAGCCCGGACTTAGCATGACTCAGGTATTAGTCACGAGGACACCATGTGACAGGTCAGGAGGCAGGACATGAGTCAGCAGACTCTGACCAAGCATGGACAAATAGGTACCTGGTCTGTGCACCGTTGTATTTGTATAAATAGTAGGGGGTCTGAGGCAGGGAACCTCAGACTTGATCTTCTCGTCGATCCCCCACTCTCCTCCTGTAGGTA